TTGGCATAACCATTAAAATAAATAACAACACCACAAGCAAGAATCATAAGTGTAAAAGATGTGATTGGCGGCCAAGGACTCGAAGTAACGAGATGAAATGGTTGTGCTTGGAATTGTTTTGGTGATAGATCTCTCATTATAATTTGTATTTTATATATTAACTTATTCGTCATTTGTATTGATTACTAAGCGTTACAATCTGGAAATGACTTTTCTATGTGTATAAATCATCAGATGGGATTTTTATTAAACTAAGAGGGATAAATAAAGTATTCTTTACTTATCGACTCTTATAAGAGGATGTGTGACAGAGCCCGGTTTATTGTGCCTGCCTTGAGTGTAGGAGTCTTTTTATCAAGACCAAGAGTTCGAATCTCTTCGCGTCCGTTTTATACAGAAAAAATACAAATATTACTAACATAGGAATTATAAGCCCAAATACTAAGTATTCGGCCCACAGGGTTCGTTGAGTATATTATTTACAGATCAGGGATTCGAACCCTCTTTCTGAAGAAAGAGAACAAACTGGGTTCATTCCGTTAATGGCTTACAGATCTGGGATTCGAACCCAGTTTGACATAGAGTCAATGCTTTTACAGAGCACCCCCGTTCACCATAATACGGGTCATCTGTATTTACTTATAGACAGGTGAAATACGACCCGTATTTTGTTCCCTGGTAATCATAAAAATCAGACGGGTTATCTTTATTTACTTATAGATGCCCACTGAAATGTTTATTGTACTCTACCTTTATAAGAGTATTATCTAATGAACAAAAACGTATATCTAAACATAATGCTATCAATTCTACTTATTCTACCAGTAGTAACTAGTTTTATAGTAGCACTTTCGGGGAACAATACTCTTAGAATAAAACGTATTGCCCTAAGTGGTACTCTTATTAACTTTATTATCTCTATCGTTCTTTGGTCTAATTTCAATGCGAACATACCAGAAGGTACTTATCAATTCACGCAAGAATTTCTACCAGAGCAAGTAACATTTTGCCATCTACACATTGGAATTGATGGTATTTCCCTATATTTTGTTCTTCTAACAACTCTTATTATACCTATTTGTATTCTTTCAAACTGGAATAATATTTCTGCTGATGGTTTTCGATATTTCCTTATCTGTTTTCTACTTCTAGAAACACTACTTATTGCAGTATTTGTTGTACTGGATATTCTCCTATTCTACATTTTTTTCGAAAGCGTACTGATTCCTCTATTCTTCATTGTAGGTATTTGGGGAGGAG